AATCGATAGCTCGAAATGGAACGTATTTTTTTCCAGGGCCAATAATTCATATTGCAAGCTACGATGCGGCAAAGTTAGAATAACGTTCGCGCTAAACTTTCTACTCCGCAGTTTTTTCAATTTTCGCGACGAGCAAAGTTCCAGCAGGTTATCACAAGCAGCCGATTATCATAAATTTACCGTCCGATCGTAGACACGCTTCTACGCGTTAATGCGTGCATGCGCGACGGAATGTTTCGCGCATATATATCGCACCGTTTTACAACCGCGCGCGCGACAACATGTTGAGATACGACTGGTCGCATAAATACACGCCGAATCCCATACGAGTTAAAGCCCAACGCGTTCTCGAGTGTGAAAAAAAATTTTTAAGACAAACGAAGCTGCGCGTTTATCTCCGCGTGGCGAGTGAATCCGCTATCCTTCATCTCTCGCCTCGCTTTCCTCCGTAAAATTAGCTGCGTTCTCGAGGATCATCGTCTTTCGACCGCAGCCGCGCAGGACAGAGACGAGGACGCGGCAGCTGCTCCTGCGCGTCAAATCCGAGGCGTAGTGTTGCCTTTATACTTCGGGCGGCCTTTTACCAAGATATTTATTGTCGTTCTCGAATTCACGATCCGTTACAGGCGCGAATGTGCCTGTAAGACTCTTTCTTCCACTCACTCACTCTTTGCTTTTAAAAATGAAATCTGCTGACGACGACGAGCACTTGATCTTGTTCGAAAAATGGTGACGGTGATACCGTACATATTTTTGAGCAAGTTATTCTACTTGTTTTTTTTTTTTTATTTCTTTGAGATAGAGATAGTTTTAATTTATAAATGTTCAGAGATATTCAGATGTTCTTTTCTGAATATATCTGCCAATACGAGAGAGTTTGAAGACACCTAATGTATATACATTCCAGAATGACAGTCGGGTTGTTTGAATTGAAAAGCTTTCCGAACGGTCACACGATAGGTTCTCCGGTTTCGGTCACGAGAGAACCGTTGAAAAGTTTTCTCCGACTCCAGATAAGCTAATTTTTCATTCTAAAAAGCTAAAACGCCTAAAACGATCATTGACACCACGCATTCGGAGTATATTAATCAGTACTTATCGACGACACTTAAGCGTATCTGTCCGACCGGCATTTCCAGGACGGACAATGGCTAATCGTTGGAGCCACCTGTCCCCGTCGTAATCTCACAGGGTATAATTAACGAAGCGGCGTTAACATGCGGACTCGAATGGAGTGGGTCAAAGACACTCACAGAAACTATGTCTGTTCGACGTCTAAATGGCATGCTATCCGTCGACGATGATGCAACAAAGATACCCCGCTACGTCTTATACTCGAACACCATTATTATAATTAATGGGCAATAAGACGGTACGTGGGGCGCGTTTCAGACGAGCAACGTCAATAAAGATAACAAATTCCTGATTTATCTAACATTCCTACAAATATGAGACTTATTTGTCGAGATATATGTTATATAAAAGGCTGCATATTTTATTTTACAGTAATCCTAAGCCCAAATAAAAAACTATATTTATTCTAGATATCTTGGAAAAATTCGAGCCTTCGTTAATGTTGGCTATACATTTACCTTGAAAATATCCTTGAATGCATATAAAGATCATAATCCGCCGTAATCTAAAATTTATGGAGGTGCTTTTTTTTGCATGCAATCCTTCGCTGCATCGATCGGGGCGCACACACAGCTTTTAACAAAACGCCAGATGCCAGATGTTGCATAGTTACTGAAGCTATACGGAAACGATCACGGTTATACGAAACTGACTGCTACCGGTTAGAAAAAGCAGGAACGGTAACTCAATAATGCATAAAGGCAACGTAACGTCAACGATGTATGCCGCGTTCGCGCAAGAGAACACGAAGACAGATAAACGTAACCAACGAGATAGTCGAGTCTCCGTGCACGTGCTCCGTACGCCATCGGCTTTATCATTTTTTCATGCAGCCGGCGCGGCGGTACGTATCAGTTCAGAGTTTCTAAAGCGGAAGATTAGAACGATCCCCCGGCGTTTGAGCGTGCGATCATTTCTTTTTTCCACCGGCATCGCGCGTCGCATTCTTATTCTCCACAAATCTACAAAAAGGCCACGAAGTTCAGAAGCCGACGGGCGTTCGGCGCTCGGTAAGAGAAGTTGGAAAACTGTCACGTAAACTTTTCTATATACTTCGGACGGCTTATTTCGCGTTACAACGGTTATACCATGCATCTACCCGTACCGCATCACATGAGCCACACGGAACAACGATATCGCTTAATTAACTGAAACCAGGATTTTAAACGAGAAATTACGACGTTCGCCAATCAGTATTTTCGCGTGGAGATCAATTTACAGAGAAGTATAGAATGTCGCTCCCTTTTTCGAAGTCGTTCCTTGCAATTTCGATTTTTACGCGTGCGTCGCTATAGATAACGGGATACGTGACTAGCTTAAAGTAAATTTGAGTATAATACACAAAACCTTCTTTTTTACATATTTATCCAAAGCCACTTGCCGATTTCCCAACAAATTCCATCCAATATTTTGCCTCTCAAGGACGGAATGTAGAAAGAACTGGTTTCTCACCGTACATCAAACTCGTTCCGTAACAGAATACATTGAAGGACTTGGCCGTTCGAAAAATCGACGACGCGATTCAAGCGTCACGGCGAGGTTCACGTGTAATTAACGTTAGCGAGGAATCGCATAAAGACGGCGATACGATACATCTACAACGCGTCTGAATCAATTACTCCGCAAAACTGGAGTTCCCTTTCCCCATAACATTCTACCATTTTATTATTACTGTACCGTGAACCGTCAACGATGACCGTAAAAATAAGTCAAATGAGAGTAAAAATAAGAATCACGGAAGACGGAAGCCTCCAATTATAGATGCGACGCTCTTTTTTCCTTCAGCACATTAAAGACACGTCTCACTGACACAACCGCGGCGGAAAAACACTCATTACGCGTCCGAAGGAAACTGGTGCGCGATCGTTCGGCAAAGGCGGGGCGGGAGCGGACGACTTCCCGCGTCTTTATTCTCGCTTCGGTGCACAATTGAAGAATTCCTTTGAGCTCCCTCCTTCCACGAATCACCGAGCCACGATGTACACGCGGCGCAACGAGAGAGAGAGAGAGAGAGAGACCGGGCGTCGTCACGACGACGACGTCGGTTTGTTGACACTGCACGTAGAGACACGGGCGTGTTCCCTCTTGATACTCACACACGCGCGTACAAACACCGGCGCCAAGCAAAATAAACACCCCGAGGTGTCTACGCCGAATGGGGGAGTATCGAAATATCGCAGCCGCCGCGTCGCGCGTTTCCGCGAAAAAGTTTCGACCGCCTTCGAAGTTGGACAATGTGGATTGTCTAACCATGCCTGTCGTTCAAGCTCGAATCAAAGTCGGGTAGAATTACGTTGCGGCTGCTTGAATTGTTTGCCGGAGCGTTGCACGTCTACCTATACGTTATACGGATTGTGCGTAAACAATGCGTAAACATGCGTAATCTGCGTGAAAGAGTTACGATCGGTTACGATGCTCGTGCGTTCTTGTTTTTTTTCCGGCTTAAAGGCCTTTGTAGAAAGAAAGGAAAAGAGAGAGAGAGAGAGAGAATGAAAGAGAATAAACTAAACCTTTGTGTTTTTTTCATTAAGTCAGCCGGATATCAAATGTACGTAATGTCAAAAAAAAATATTCAGTTACATTAAAATCAACATGACGTACTGTATCACATGCATGACACGCGAGAACTTTTATAATAACGATATCATCATTTCAACAAACCCACGCGGCATTGGCTTTTTACTCGCATAACAGCGAAAACACACTGTAGAAACATATCGGTATAATTACTGCTGCGCAATAACTTTTACGAATAATAATTTAAACGCAGCGCATCGTGTTTTATATTATGTTCGCCCAGTTCGACGTAAAAAGCTCGGAGTTAAATAAATTGCGCCGAACGATGTAAAATGAATTTACGTGCCCCGGCGCCGTGTATTAAAATGGACCGCGGAAAAAAATATATACATATATATATACATATGCCCGCGGATTTTTTTATCAGCGTGCGCGCTAACTGAATTTAGATAGAAACGAGCAGCAACATTTCGGATCCATCCGCTTTCGCTCCGAAAAAGCGGCCGCGAGAATCGGACGGGGTCAATCAAACGAAACGCTATCCATTCAAAAATCATGCTCATTCATCTCGCTCGGCGATAATAACGACCAAATAAAAGCGGCGTTATATTGCCGGAATGATATCGTCCCGCAACGAATCGTTATCACGTCCGATCGAAACACCCAGAACAGTCGGCGCTGATTCATAAAGAACTTTCGTGGACAAAAATCTCACGAGGAGGTTTCATCTCGCGCGCGCGAGTGAAATGCTCCGGCAAAAAGGCGCGGAGCGGAGCGTTTCGCGCGACGCGCAGTTCGCGCTTTTTTTCCGCTCGGAAAAAACCGAGTCCCATTGGAAGCGCGATGAAAAAAACCGGGGAACGAGTTTCACTCCGAAACTCGCGCGGACGAGACAGCGCTGTCGTTTAAATTATCCCGCCGCGTGACCTCCGCACCGGTTTCGATTGCAAAAAAAAAACATTCGGGTAAGTATGTATACGTCGCGCAAACAATGGAGCTTCCGAATCGAGACTCGTATCGATTATCCTTCGCTTTTCGATCGCTATTTCCGACCCCAATTTTCCCCGACGCGCGCGCGAAAGATCGCGAGGAGCAGATCTAAGAGATTCGGTCGTTATTCGAGGACGCCATCTTGTCCGATCCGACGAGCGAGATCGAATTGTCAGATTGAGGCAACGACCGTCTCGCGTAAATCGTCGTCGCCGAGAACGCCTCGCGCTCCCCGCGACGATTCGTAATTTAACACGGTCCGCTTGGCTTTCACACCGATCTCGCGCATTCCGCGCCGCCAGGAGCACGTCCTTTGTCCCTCGCGGAAGCGAGGAAAACGATCGGGAAGAGACACTGACCTTGCTGTGCGCGCTGCGATTCCCGCGACGCCGGCCGCGTCCCCGCGTCACTCTCGCGACAGGAACAGACGGGCGGAGTCCCCTCCGTCGCTCTCTCGCTATTGTGCTTCAGGTAATCCAAAAAATTCCGCGTAGGGAGCACACCACTCGTCTCGCGTCGCGTCGCGTCGCGTGCCGTCCACCGGAGTCTCACTGAAAGCCAAGTTCTCCTCACATTCGCGCACCGTACGTTAAAGAACCGTGTCACTGCACTCTGAAGTTAGCCGCGAAGGGATCTTTTCAGAACGGGCGACGCGGCGCCGCGCCGCTTCTTTCGCCGGCGGGCAACCAACGCAACACAGCGCGATATACATTCACTCGTGCGTCGCCGTGCTATTCCGCGGAAAACGCGCGCGACAACGATCTCACATCGGCGACGGAGCAGTTCGGAGCTCTGCCTCCACGTGGAAGCGAGCGACCGCCGCGAACATACGTCCGTCACGTCGGAACGGCAAACCGAGACTAGCGCGCCGCTGCGGACGTCGAGAAAGGCGAGCCTAGTAGACCCGCGCTGTCTCTCTCATTTCCCCGCCGCCACGCCGACCGTCTATCACTCTCTCTCTCTCTCTCTCCCCCCCCTCTCCCCCCGCTCTTTCGTCGCGCACCGAACGACTCGCGCGCGATCCCGCTTCTCTCTCTCGCTCGCTCTTTCCCCTCGATCGCCGCGGTCGTTCTCCATTCCTCTCTCGGTTCCCCACACCGTCCCCCTCGATGCTCCGTCCCCCCCTTCCCCGTTCCTCACCTGCCGACCGGCCTGCCGACGCGCTCCTCCACGGCCGGCGACGATCCCTTCTCTCCACGGACGATCTCTTATGCCGGTCGGGCCAATCCGATCCCTTTTCCAACCGTAGTCCGGTGCGAACACGTTACCGGTTACCGCGTGCACCGTGCCTCTGTCAGCGTTCCCCTGCCTGCGCCCGACCCCTCTCCGGAGTAAAACTCCCCGCGTTATGCATCGTTGCGCTCGCACACGCAAGTTCGAGCATCGCGCGCTTCTTCTCTCGTTCCCTCTCTCTTTCTCTCTCTTTCTCTCCCTTTCTCTTTCTTTCTCTTTCTTCACGCACGCCGCGCCGGCCGGCCCCACGTTACGATGCGTTTTGCCGTCCGCAATCAACGGTCGACGCTCACTGGACTGCGGTCGCAAAAAAAAGGGGGTCAGCTCGCGGGTGGGATTTAAAACCGAGGGCGGTTGCGTTTTGCCGAGACTCTGCTCGAAATCGCGGGAAAATGCGTTCGGTCGCGTCGGGGCAGCGTAACTCCGAAAGAGCCGGTCGCACAATAATAGGGAAGCGCCGATAAACTCGCCGAGTGGATACTCGGCCGTTAATCCGTGTCGATGCGGCGATGAAGAGAGAGCGTTTTTGTCAGCCGATATTCAACGCGACGTGGATGGAAGCGAAGCGGTTTTAATGGAGAGCTCGCGTACAAATTGTTGCGCACTTTATAAATATATCGGGGTCCGCGCGCCGATGGCAAGCCCCCGAACAATGTCACGGGAAGCCACGTCGATAAAAGGAGTAAAATCTGCACTGTCAGAAGAAACAAATTTCAAGATTTCTCATTTATTATTATTGTTTAAAAGATTGCCTTTTATTTTATACACATACATATTTGGTGTGCTCGTTTATTAAAATACTCATTACCGCGTGCGACTGATAATAATGCGCAATAACAAAATAACGGGTTACATGTTCCATATTTTCGAACAACACGCAAGAACGTACGGTCAAATATTATCTAGTTTTGCCGTCATCTTTGAACAGCTCATTATATGCAGATTACGCGAAGACTAAAATCATCGCGATAATATTGCCGATGCATTTAGCAAACGCCACTGCTTCATAAAGCGATAAATAATTGCTCGGTGAGAGGAGGCATTGTACTGTTTTTCGGTAATCAGGCGTGAATAACAATGGTTAATCGTGCATGAAACGCATATGAAAGTATACGCTTTGTTCTGTTTTTAATGCACCGAGGTCCGTATCGATCGAACAACAATGTATTAGAAGCAATGTAAATATTTTTAAAACTCTCTCACGACATTATCACGATATGTTTAATTGCGTCAATACAGCTAATATTTCTAATTAAAATTATTTCTAACGTTCATTGCGCTAGCGAGCGACGTAAGAGACACGAGATTCCATTGATATCTGATTATTTCCTTCGAAATTTAATACAATTATCGACCGTGAATATCGATCGTGAATATATGTTAAACAAGAGACTCAACGTGTTGAGCGGGACGAGTGTTACCACGTCCGCAAATTGTTTATAGAGCATAAATTTTCAAGACTGCCGCTCTAATTGACTCGTAAATTTCACTCGTGCAGTAAATCATACCTGCGACGCTGCGTACCTGGGTTCGCAAAAATTTACGTTATTATAACAGTCTTTCGGCGCGAGACGTGAGATGCGTTACGCTCGAACAATCACGTTTCCGGAAAAAGGATTTCACGAGGAACCGACCATTAATGTCGCCGGGTTAGCATTTAAATTCACGCACGGCGTCAAAGATGCAGGTGGCACTCTTTAGACGACTCTAAATTGCGTCCACCGGCAGACAAACGCACGGCCGCAGAGCCAGTCCTGTGTTTGTCCCGGTAGTTGCCAGCGACTAAGCTAACGGAGCCGGCCAGCATGTATACCGGGAACTCGCAGAAAAGGGACACGAACAGAAGGCCCCTTAGTCCTCTGTCTCTGTGTTCCACTACCCCCCGCCGTTACTTGTCTTATCGGCGCCCCGTCGTCCACATTGCTCTCGGCATCTCACCCTCGCCAGTCAGAATTACGTTTGTGTGCTCGGACACCATTACCTTAATTAAGAGCGAAGTTTTCTCAAGCTGCCCGCGCGCGAACACTTCCTCTAAACTAAGTTCTCTATTGATTTTATCTTAATATCCTTAAGTTCTTCGCAGTTCCTCCTTTTATTCTTCTTCCTCCGCCACTCGAAGGGAGCTACGTGCCGCGACTAAATGGCTTTACATGCATAAGACGTCTCGTCATTAATGTCGCAAAACTTATCGCCGCCTTAATGAGAATTCCTCGTAACTCCATTTTTCTAAATATGACGCGCGACGCGAAGACTGTTTAAGAATTTTTTTAATGTAGTTGCGCATCAAGTTCAGAATTCACTCTCTTAAATGATTTACGATGTTACGCTTTACGGCGCCGGAGAACGGATGTCTTTATCACGGGATAACGATAAAATACTTATCTTCTTTAGTAAAAGTAAAACTGCGAAAAATCCTCTCTCATCACGCCGCGCCCATTACATATAATATCTTTTCACGCGGGTTCCTTGTAAAGGAGTTCGGATATCATTATTGCCTTAGAGTGGCAGTTTTTAAATATAATTAACTATAAGACGTTGTTAATCCGAATATTCACTCCTCCAGTCACTTTATCGTATACTTTCGATTTTCTTTATATCTTTTGATTGACACTTTTTTTATCCCTTTATTTTTTTTCTTTAGATTTTGAACAGGCACCGAAGAAAACGACATAAATACCCTTAATTCTGTTCGGACCTATTCACAAATGTTGCGATAGGCCTAAAAACCATAGTGCGCTTGCTTATGTTAGTCCTTTTTGTGTTACTGGATTCTTTTCATTCAAAATATCTCTAATGCCATGCCATGCTTTACAGAAGACTCCATGACAAAAGGGATGAGCTCTCTTTAAAAAAAAAAAAAAAAAAAAAAGTATTGAAATTCCAACTTTGTAAAAGAGCCGATCGGCGCGGCGACATAGGGGAGGACAAAAATTATATATTGTACATGTATTGGAATATCTCAATACAGATAATAAATTGCGTAAAGAATTTCAGGTGACAGTGTGTAAGAGTGTGTGTGTATGATTAAAATATATTTTACAATTAGGAGCATAAAGTAATATTAGAGATATAATACAAATTAATAAAATTGGTAAAATTTTATATTACTTTATTTAATAAAATTTTGTTACAAATATATAATATAAAAATATATTAATATTTATCTTTTTTTTTTATTTATTTTAAATTTATTGATATTTTTGTTAACTAATTGATGTAATTAGATAAATATACGCGAAGATGTATTTCGATTTAAATAATCGATGTTTACTAGTTCCAGTCAAAATGCAAGTACTACCAAGTTATATGTATTAACATTTCACATCATTTGTTTTCGATTTCTGATAGAAGGCCAAGCATTTTGCTATGAAGAATCGCGGGAGTGAGTACGACGAGAAGATGTGGAGATGACGAAGAAGGAGATGGATGGAAGAACGAGAGTAATAGGAAGAGCAGCGCTTCTCCAAGAGGTGAAGAGTGACCGGGGCAAGGAAGAGAAGATGTGAAGCCAAAGAATCAGTCGGTCGTGGTAGAGCCCGTCTTGGCCTATACTGGACTCAAGGCTATCAACCTCTAAGCATCCATTAACTACCAGACGTCGAGGTGTACGGGCGCGCATACATGCACACGCACACCCACGAATGCATGTATACGCACGCATTCGCGCGCGGAGACGGCTACCCCGCAGTATTTCACCGGCGTCCGCAATTACGCGGTTCCAAGCAACGGTGCTGATTAGACCGCAAACGTCGCTCCTACTCCCGTTGCTGGCGGCCGAAAGCGCACGGCCGCCGAAGCTAAATACGCTTTGTCAGATCGTTGAAAATTTTATTTTGCGAACGCATGTGTTTCGCTCGCCGAATGTGTGTCGTTCTATATATGCGTATACGTTCAAAGTGAGGAATGCGCGATCGCGAAATGCCGAAATACCGAACGCGAGTTCGGGGTCGTGGGTCGCGGTCACAACGGTACGCGAAAACCGGCGCGGCGCGATCTACCTCGAAAGAGAGACGCCGCTCGAGAGCAACAAGTGAAAGTCAGTTTGCCACGGAACAACGTAGTCGGAAATCATGCGCGGTGCGCATTATCTCGTTTCCCCAGTCCGCTGCCTCCACCCGGTATAATCAGCTCGATCGTATCCGTTAAGATCTTGCCTCGCTTCGACTCGTTATTAACCGTTATCAGCTTCGATCGAGATATCGGCCGATGCAAACGACCTCGTCGACTCGGCGCGGCGCGTCCATCGTTTCCCGATCAGCGCCGACGTAAGCCGACGTTTGATGTTTGATGAATTCAATCTCGCCGAGCTAGCGCGCAATGGTAACGCGGCGCTAGTCCGTCCGTTCGCGCGCAGCTCGAACAAACCTGACCGACAAAAACTGGCCGGACAGGTAAGCGGTAGCGAAATACCTGACGCCGTGAGGCTAAACGCGGCGTGGTAGACGCTGTCCTAGACGGGGCCGTTTCGCTCGGCGCGAGGCCGCCGAGGCGCGAGCACGTTTCCTTCGGCCGCGAATACCGCCGTGCGTGCGTTAACGAGTACGCGAGGTGGATTGTTACCTCGTCGCGTATGATTTACAGCGACTTTAAAGATGAGAT